CCTGTATGATTTAAGTCCACCAGCAAATTTATTTCTCGGTCTGCTTCAGCATTCTCTTTCTTCCCTCTTTCAAATGGTGGTTTCAGAGTGAGGAGAGGTTGTGGAGCCTGGTTCTCTTCATTTACTTGTTTGGAGTAGGTATCGGTAAGTACTTCTGCCAAAAAGGTGTTCACTGATTCTGTCATGGAAGGCTCGGGGGAAAGTCCTGGAAAGTACAGCTCTTGATGCTCCTTTTGCAGTGGCTTTTGGTTTTCAGCAGATGAGTGTGCAGATGATGAAGTATCAAAATTCATGCAAATGTTGGCATCAGTAAGTATTTCTGGCAGAGTTGAGTTCACTGATTCTGTCTTGAGAAGCTCAGGGGAAAGTCGCGGCATATCCATCTCTTGATGGACATTTTGCAGTGGCTTTTGGTTGTCATGTCTTTCAAGTATTTGAGCAGCTAAATGCACTTCCAATTCTTCCAAAACAGATGATGAAGTATCAAAATTCTCTAAAAGGTTGGTCTGGTGGTCTGAACTTCCTACGGATCTCTCCTCATTCTCTCTTCCAGAAATTGAATCTGTGATGGAGTCATGTTGGAACCTTAGGTTAAATGTGTCAAATTGTTCATTTGTGGTCTCTGATCTTCTTGAGGGCCTGTCATCCTCTTCATTACAGATTGAGAAGTTCCTGTCTTCAGGCACTGGGGGTGCTGATGGAGTCTCTTTCTTCACCACTAATCCAGAACTCTCATCCGAAAGTATGGATCCCTCACCCTCTAAAATAACATCAAGTGACGCCAGTTGGCTTTCTTCATTTTCACCTGACTGATTCCATAATAATCCAGAAGGATCAGAGAACAAAATTAAAGAAAATTCCAATGAACATTCAACAATGCATTGAAACTAACATATAATCTCACCTTAGATACTTCTCTGATGTCTTTGACCACCAATGGATCTTTGTCCTTTGTACATTCATCTTCAATTGACATTGTATTCTCATCCTATACAATTGTGCAAAAACATAGGATAAGAACTAAAAATGCCCCCAAAAAATCACCTACGCCATACATTTTACCAATTCATTTGGAAATCAAAATTTGCACATCTATCATTTGCAATTCCTCACAGTCTAACCTGCCACGTTTTTGTTTTCTTTTCCTTGTACAACCAACAAATTACTCATCACTCTCTCCGTTATGCTATTCCAACCGATAAATTTCTCTATTTCAAACATTTTGAAGAATCTCATCCAACACAGCATCACAAATAAAAAAGAAAGCAAAGCAAAATCAGAACAATTGGTGCTTTTCAGCCTACAAAATCCTAAAGTAAATTAGGCACATAAAAATTAAAAGTATGAAACCAAGAATAAGAGTTAATGAATTAACGTCCTAAATTATGTCATTTCATCTTATTAATCTCCCTACTTCAATCCTGATTAAAAGAAGAAAATAAAAAAA